ATTACTGAATGATATCATATTGTTCTATGTCAGAGGTATATGGTGGAAGTGTTGTAATCTTTTTTTGTACTTTTTTATAGTAGAGGGGGCAAACGAGCATGCGGCTCACCTGATGGTAAGTGACTACCGCCGCCCAAGAACAACTGCAACACCAGGGGAATTGCAGATGCGTTGCCGGCCTTTTAAAAAGGAGTAGGCTCTTTTCTTGATGGTCCCTAAGTCGTATCGGTCCGGAAAAATCGCTCGTGGTAATCGATTCCACAAGGAAATTGTGCGAGGGAGAAAACTTCTTCTAAATCGCACAGTGGTGGACCGTCAATCATCTAAATGGTATGGATGGTATCGCGAGTTTTGTCGCGATGTGCTATGGTGAAATTGAGCGGCTGGAATTAGTCCGAACAATTCCTCAGAGCACTCCCCATGATAGATGCGATAAAATACGCAAAGAGATGCAATATCTCTACGCAGTGCCATTGAGTCAAGTCGACAGGAAAGAACTCGGTCGTCGACGATTCGAACCGCTCTGCGCTGGATGCGGTCAAGTGGAAGGAGCTGGCACTGGGGAGCCCCTGCCAAGAGATGGGAACAGTATTCCATGTGAGGCCGAATCTGCGCCTTGTAAAGTTGCAAGCGGTGTGCCGGCATGAAATACTGTCCCGCTCTGCTGAGCACGCCAAGCTTTTTAGAGGCCAATTTGGCCTTCTCTTCCAAGTGACCACGAAACTGCACGTCACTCGATATGTCGACATCGAGGATACCGATACTGGCTGAGGCAACAAGGGGAGTACCTTGAAACTTCTTGAAGAGATACAACAAAGGGGTTATTTTTAGCGGTAAACGCGCAAACTTGTGTCTTCTGGGGATTGAACTGGACTAGATTTAATCGACACTAGTCTGAGACTTTGTTCAACAAAGTCTCGACTTCAGACACAAGTTTGTTCTGGTACTAGGCGACGTTTACCCGAGAAATATTGGCACGGCCGGAGTATAAAGCATTACCAGCGCTGTCGTTCTCATACCAACCAATGAATGTTACTGGTTTGCCATATATCCTTAATATGCAGAAGAAATAGCGTTGGTGATAGCAACCTTGTGGAACACTAGCGTTAATGGGCTTGTAATCGGAGCATGCACCGTCTACTACGACGTTGATGCTCCAATCTGTAAGAAAAATGGTGATCCAATTGCACAATTTCTCGGGAAGCCCATAGGAAGGCAGCTTCGAAAGAAGTGCTTTGTGCCAAACCCGATCGAAAGCCTTCGCTATGTCCAAACTAACGGCCAACGCCTCCCCCTTGGACTCCACTGCCTCCGACCATCTATGAGTTAGGTAACCCAAAAGATACAGATAGTTAACTTGCTGTTAAACACTTAATGTCTCTTTTAAAGTCTTGAACACATTAACTACTAACACTAACTATATATTATCTAACCAATGACTATATATGTACATGCACAGACACACAAATATGCGCGCACACACATCCTAACTCACAAACACACAAAACTTTAACCTCTAATACATGTTAAACAATATTTTAGAAATTAAGGTACTTTATTTTTACAAAAATTAGGTCCCTCACATAATTATTATATGTTTTATACTCTATATGTGACCATCGTCGTTGAGTTTATGATAAGTAATAAATTGTAATAGAAAGCTTTAGCATAAGATATATTGTAAACTTGTTTGTGGTTCTCTCTAAATAAATAATAAAAAAAAAACATCACCAGCAGAGCGACCTCGACGAAAACCGTGCTGGCGGTCACTAATCAGCTGGTATTCCTCAAGGTACCGCATGAGCTGGCTGTTAATAATGGTTTCAATTACTTTGGAGAACAAGGAGGTGATAGCGATAGGCCTGTAGTTGGACCGATCTGAGCGGTCGCCTTTTTTAGGGATCGGGTGCACCAAAGCTGTCTTCCATGAGTACGTGCTATAAATGTTGTACCGACTAACAATGTTATACCGATCTGGGAGGATTGAGGCCATTAAATAGGGGAACTATTGGGTATGCGTCAGTGGCGTAGCGTGCCTTCGATGGGCCCTGTATCAAAATGTGTTGGGGGCCCCAATGAAGAGTAAAGATTTCATAAAAGGAACAAAAACGCTTGCATTGAATTTAAGTTATTCACCATCATCATGACAGCCCTTCATAAGTCCACTGCTGAACATAGGCCTCCCCCAAAGAATGCCACAAAGCACGGTCCTGAGCCACCTGCATCCATCGACTTCCTGCATATCTTACCAGGTCGTCACTCCATCTAGTGGGGGGACGCCCTACACTTCGTCCGCCGGTACAAGGCCGCCACTCGAGAACCTTTTTTCCCGATCGGTTGCCGGTTCTTCGAGCTATATGTCCGGCCCACTGCCACTTCAGCTTACCAATCCGTTGGGCTATGTCGGTGACTCTGGTTCTACTGCGGATATCCTCAATACTAAGTTTACCACGAAGAGAAACTTCGAGCATAGCCCTCTCCATAGCTCGCTGAGCAACCTTGAGCTTCCTCATCCGGCCAGCAGTGAACGACCACGTCTCAGTACCATATGTCATCACCGGCAACACGCACTGGTTGTAGTCTCGTTTTCAAGTTTTGAGGTATACCTGACTAGAAGATGTGCCGTAATTTCCCGAACGCTGCCCAGCCGCGTCGAATCCCTCGATTGACCTCTCGGTCGAAGTTGGACTTACCTAGTCAGACTATATGTCCCGTTACTCACACTTACGTGTGGCTCCAACGATGACGTGGACAGCTGCCGATAGAACCTCTCAATCTCACTCAAAAACTAAGGTGTCCTGGAAACGACGCTGCCACACTCGGTCTTCATCTTCAACAGTTGGCTCTTTCTGGCAGACAGATCTCGTGCAAAGACTTTGGAGCCTTGGTTCCGCTCGATCGTTTCTTTAATACGTGCAGTATTAAAGATTAAAGTTGCGTAAGTCTCGCCGCATGCATTTGGGGATCTGTCTGTTCAGTTGCCTGTATGCTGTCAAATCTACTGAAGACTACAGCTATATATCCCGTCTCACAGCCATGAGAGTGTTATCGGAGAGTTTTTGTGTTCTTCTGCGGCGGGTCTTGTAAAACTTAGTTCCGACCGCATGGACAGTTTCCACGAGCTTGTCATTCATATCGTCCATTGCATTGCAATCTTCTAGGCACTGAAAACGGTTTCGTAGCTGGAGCTGAAATGTTTCGGGACTTTGGATTAGAGCACGGGGGGGGGGGGGGGGGGGACGGAGCATTGACTTCATTAGACGTGACCTCTTCAACTTAACGTTTAGGTTCAGTGTGCCTCTCACCATTCGGTGATCGCTGCCGGTTTTCACCCTCACGATCACTGAGACATCACTGAAAAGTCGTCGTCTGGTCGTCATAATGAAGTCAATCTCATTTTTTATCGAACCGTCGGGGCTCGACCAGGTCCACTTCCTGTGGGGCCGCTTCTGGAAGAAAGAGTTTTCATGAAGAGTCCCTCTTTCTCCATGAAGTCGGCTGCTGGCCCCTTGGGTTCCGTTGCCCTATTCCGAATTTCCCTATTTTCAGCTCACCATTCTCTCTTGCGCCTAGTTTTGCGTTAAAGTTTCTCATTATATATTATATCCCATTATATCCCGTATAGTGGGTTTTGGAGGAATGCATGGCTCTAGAGATATCCTCATACATTTCTTCCACCTCCTCATCGGCGTGTGCCGAGGTTGATGCGTAAACCTGTATGACCTTCAGCGAATACCGTTTGGTGATTCTGAGTATAAGGTACGCAACCCTCGTCGACACACTCCCAATATTTACAACGTTGTTAACGAGAGACTTGTGGACGATAAATCCGACACCTCCTTGGGACAGATGGTCGCCCCCCTGGTGATAGAACAAATTGCCGGATTCGAGGATTACCGTGTCCTCCCCCTCTCTTCAGACTTCGGATAATCCTATGACGTTCCAGCGCATCTTGTCTATCTCTTCTTCCAGCTCCAGGATCTTCTCGTCAGTCCTCAGGGTGCGTGCGTTATAAGTTGCCAGGTCGAGTCGTCGTAGGTGGCAACAGAACCTCCACCGGAGTTTCTTAGCACCCCCTGCCCCGCTGTTACCATGGTCGCCACCTTAGCCAGGAATAGCGGGGCTGCCGGGGACTGGGGGCCATCTCTTCGTTACTTTCATGGGGGTATATTGCCATAGTTGCCACGCTTAGCGAGCGGGTTGACAACCGCAGTTTTTTTATTGTTATTTTGCTGTTATCAGAAAGATAATGCTGCCCATCCTCTGCCTCAGTTTCCCTCTGTCGACTTTTACGACACCCACGGGAAGATATGGGGGTAGTGAGTATTCTTACCCACCACTACACGGGTTTTTGAGTTATTACTTACAATTAATACTCCTAGGAACGAAGCTAGCCAAACAATTCAAATCAAATATACACTTTTCGTGCCTTTTGTTCGGCGAACATAGCTGAAGACGATTCGGCTGCATTCATAGCTGAAGACGATTTCAGTTTTACTAAATTCTTTACTTCTATAGACAATAGTGATAGCCTTTCCTGTCCCATAGAAGTCCTTGAAATTTTTGCTCACACACGTTCGGGGCCCCTGTAGCCCGGGGGCCCCGTATCATTGATACGGCTGATACGGCGGTAGCTACGCCCCTGGTATGCGTATAAAAATGCCTAAAAAATACAACATGCAAAAGTTGTGTGCGCGTTCGTCGGAATGAAATCCCTCAACTCAATGCATATTTTCGACCTTTCAAGTTGAGGAAGGAAAAGTTTGTATAGTAAAAAATCATACCTATATATAATATACGAAATTTATTATAACTTTCATACGTCATGACAGAAATGATAAACTTAACCTAAAAATGAATAGGAATCATTATTGTCACTTAATATTATGCAGTGCAGATCCAATTTCGCATCACACTTTTAAAGGCACAGCGAACATAAACAACTCAAACAATAACATCAGATCACACATAGACTATGAATCACTCGGACACTTTTGTAATCATAATTCTTTAGAATCTTCTGGGAGGCAAAGGAACATCTTAGAGCAGGCTATGTTAAAGGCGTTGCAGGCGGATTCCATCCACTGCGGTTTGTTCTTCCACATAATAAAAATGCAAAATAACGGCACGCCAAGGGCAATGAAAGCGATGCCGATGCCGACTTCGATTGGATGCGTGAAACAAGAGAAAACTACAAGGAATGTGCAGACGATTAGAAAAACTACAGGAAGGAGGAGGCTGACTCGTATAGGACGAGATAGCTGCGGCCGTGTATATCGCATCCAGAGGAGACCGGATACGGAGCACAGCGTGAAGAGTGCTTCAACTGCAGTCACGTACACGATCAGCGACTCCACGTTGTTGAACATGAGCAGCACGAGCGTCACAAGACACTGAAACGTAAAACAAAATGATGTAAATAAAACGTATCTATAACCGTGATTAATTCCACTAGGTGTTAGGACTCCTTCTCTGCATATTCTAGTCTGAATAGGCATCACTCTCTTACCTATTGCTGTGCCAAATAGCAGTGTTTGCACTGTTGTGGTCTGGACTAAAGTGTATGTAATAACAGAAGGCTTTGAGTAATTGCTTTGTTTGAAGTTGGTTGCAGGTGTCTGTGGGCTGTAGTAGCCACTTACCATCAGGTGGAGTGAGTGGAAGGTTGTCGAGAAATCAGGTGAGTGAGTGTGAGTTTGTTTTTCACTTAAGTTTAGCAACGTTATATGATTATATATATATATATATTATCAAATTGCAATTTAATTTTTTAACGGCTTCGTAACGCAGTGCCTTAGTAATGATTTAAGGCGCGAGGACCGGGGGTTCGAATTTCGCACGCAATAAGTATCTGTATGGCCTACAAGTAATTGTTTCAAATTCGAACCTGGGTGTTATCATCATCATCATCATCATCATTACAGCCCTTCACAAGTCCACTGCTGAACATAGGCCTCCCCCAAAGAATGCCACAAAACACGGTCCTGAGCCACCTGCATCCATCGACTTCCTGCATGTCTTACCAGGTCGTCACTCCATCTCGTGGGGGGACGCCCTACACTTCGCCTACCGGTACGAGGCTGCCACTCGAGAACCTTTCTTCCCCATCGGTTGTCGGTTCTTCGAGCTATATGGCCGGCCCACTGCCACTTCAGCTTACTAATCCGTTGGGCTATGTCGGTCACTCTGGTTCTACTGCGGATATCCTCATTCCTAAGTTTATCACGCAGAGAAACTCCGAGCATAGCCCTCTCCATAGCTCGCTGAGCGACCTTGAGCTTCCTCATACGGCCAGCAGTGAAGGACCACGTCTCAGTTCCGTAAGTCATCACTGGCAACACGCACTGGTTGTACAATTTCGTTTTAAGGTTTTGAGGTATGTCTGACGAGAAGATGTGTCGTAGCTTCCCGAACGCTGCCCAGCCGAGTTGAATCCGTCGATTGACCTCTCGGTCGAAGTTGGTCTTCCAATGCAGCGGTGAAGAGTTTCGGGGATATAACGTCACCATGTCTTACACCTCTCTGCAATTGGATAGGTTTCGTACTCTGGTTCTGTACTCGGATAGCCATCGTAGCCCTACTGTACAAGCACTTCAACACTTCGATATACCGACAGTCAACTTGGCACCGCTGAAGGGACTGCAGCACCGCCCAAATTTCGACGGAATCAAAGGCTTTCTCATAGTCCACATACGCCAGACATAGTCGCAAATTGTACTCTTCGGACTTCTGTACAACTTGCCGAAGGGTATGTATGTGGTCTATGGTGCTAAAGCCCTTTCGGAAACCGGCTTGTTCGGGAGGCTGGAAGTCGTCAAGTCTGCGCGCGAGACGATTCGTAATGACTCTCGAAAACAGCACGTAGACGCGGCTCAGAAGGGAAATCGGTCTGTAGTTCTTCAAGAGAGCGTTGTCACCTTTCTTGAAGAACAAAACCACCGCACCTCTGCTCCACGCCTCCGGTGTAATGCCACCATGGAGGACGGAATTAAAGAGCTTCTGAAGGACTTCAAGTACCGGTCTTCCACCCGCTTTCAGAAGCTCCGCTGTAATTCCATCCTCGCCTGGGGCCTTACCGTTTTTAAGGTGCTGGAGAGCCATCCTAATCTCGCTCAGACTGACATCCGAGATATCTTCGGAATAGTGTCGGATGAGACTCGCTCTTGGATCGTTACTCACACTTGCGTGTGGCTCCAACGATGATGTGTACAACTGCCCATAGAACCTCTCAATCTCACTCAAAATCCCAGGTGTCCCGGAAACGATGCTGCCACATTCTGTCTTCAGCTTTGACAGTTGGCTCTTTCTGGCAGACAGATCTCTGGCAAAGATTTTGGAGCCTTGGTTCCGCTCGATCGCTTCTTCAATACGAGCTGTATTGAAGTTGCGTAAGTCCCGCCGCATGCATTTGGAGATCTGTCTGTTCAGATGCCTGTATGCTGTCAAGTCTGTTGAAGAATGTAGCTTCATCTCCCGTCTAACAGCCATGAGATTAAGAGTGTGATCGGAGAGTTTTTGTGTTCTTCTGCGGCGGGTCTTGCAGAACTTAGCTCCGACCGCATGGACAGTTTCCACGAGCTTGTCATTCATATCGTCCACTTCATTGCAGTCTTCCAGGCACTGAAAACGGTTTTGTAACTCGAGCTGAAAGGTTTCGGGACTTTGGAACAGAGCACGAGGGGGACGGAGCGTTGACTTCATTAGACGAGACCTCTCCAACTTAACGTTTAGGTTCAGTGTGCCTCTAACCATTCGGTGATCGCTACCAGTTTTCACCCTCGCGATCACGGAGACATCACTGAACAGTTGTCGTCTGGTCGTCATAATGAAGTCAATCTCATTTTTTGTGGAACCGTCGGGGCTCGACCAGGTCCACTTCCTGTGGGGCCGCTTCTGGAAGAAAGAGTTCATCATAAAGAGTCCCTCTTTCTCCATGAAGTCGGCCAGCTGCTGGCCCCTTGGGTTCCGTTGCCCTATTCCAAATTTCCCTACTTTCAGCTCACCGTTCTCTCTTGTGCCTAGTTTTGCATTGAAGTCTCCCATTAACACCGTATATTGGGTTTTGGAGGAATGCATGGCTCTAGAGATATCCTCATACATTTCCTCCACCTCCTCATCGGGGTGTGCCGAGGTTGGTGCGTAAACCTGTATGACCTTCAGCGAATACCGTTTGGTGATTCTGAGTATAAGGTACGCAACCCTCGTCGACACACTCCCGATCTTTACAACGTTGTTAACGAGAGACTTGTAGACGATAAATCCGACACCTCCTTGGGACAGATGGTCGCCCTCCCGGTGATAGAGCAAGTTGCCGGATTCGAGGATTACCGTGTCCCCCCCCTCTCTTCGGACTTCGGATAATCCTATAATATGCCAGCGCAACTTGTCTATCTCTTCTTCCAGCTCCACGATCTTCTCGTCAGTCCTCAGGGTGCGTGCGTTGTACGTTGCCAGGTCGAGTCGTCTAAGGTGGCAACCGAACCTCCACCGGAGATTCTTAGCACCCCCTGCCCCGCCGTTACCATGGTCGCCACCGTAGCCAGGAATAGCGGGGCCGCCGGGGACTGGGGGCCGTTTTTTTATTACTGTCATTCATAGGGGGGTATTTGCCATAGTTGCCACGCTTGGCGAGCGGGTTGGCAACCGCAGTTTTTTTTATTGTAATTTGGCTATTATCAGGAAGATGCTGCTGCCCATCTCCTGCCTGTTTCCCTTTGTCGCCTTTTACGACACCCACGGGAGGATATGGGGTAGTGGATATTCTTGACCGCCACTACACGGCACACTGGGTGTTATAGCCTTGTGCAATTTGTGTATTTGGTTTGGTCGTGGAATGGAAAGGGGAGTTCTCTCGTCAGGCAAGGTGATCGGCCCGGGGAGCTATTCTGTATATGTAGCGCAGTAGCAGCGCAGTTTGTTGCGTTTCACTTGTGGCGCGAGGAAAGCGCCGTCACATGTATGTAAACTACCTCTACAATACAGGTGAAAATCCTAACGTGGCGGTAATGTTTTAAAAAAGAATATTTCTGGTAAATAATTTCATTTATCTGCAGTTCCATTAGACATATTGGATTATATGAAAGTTATTTCATTACATACATTAACTGTCACTTGGTTGAACTAGCCGTCGATGGTACTTATTTTAAAACTTACTTATTATAAAAAGAAAAAGCAAACATAGAAATTTAATAGTTAAACACGCAGTTTGTTTATTATTTTAAATTGTTATCAAAAAGATACTGCTGTCCTCGTCCTTTTTCATTTGCTTATGTTGCTTCTTATGCCGCATGTGGGATAATATGGAGTAGTGGAGTTTCTTTCACACGGCTATGTGGTCTATAGTACAAAAGCTTTTTCAGAAACCAGTTGTTAAAGATTCGTAAACTAAACTATATTATTATAAACTGTTATTAAACAATAACTATTGCTAAAGCCTTACCATAAATATTAACGAGGGTACGGGTGTTAGCCTCCTCACATCTATTAACGATATGGCCATGGGCAGGTGCCCATTTCGGGCTCCGACGAAGAAAAGACGTGAAGACGCATAGATCGCTCCATTTAATGAACCAAAAGTGCACAAGGCCACAAACAGAGGCATGATCCATGATACTACGCCAAGGATCTTTTCACTGAAGGTGACAGCGACTGCTTCAGATGCGTGAATCTCGGCGTTCGTAAGCACCGCAAAGTACGCCACGTTAGTGAGGGCGTAAACAAGAGTTACTACTGGCATCGATATGCAGATGGCTCGCGGTAAGTTTCTGTAATAAGACAAAAAAAACTCTTAGTTATCACAATATAGTTATCAAAGGTTTAGAATATGCTAAGAATTAGTCCACAGTTGGAAATAAGATTATAATCATCTCAGAAGAATTTAGTCATAATAGGCAGTCCTCCTAACACAGTACAAGGTCGCACACAACTCAAACAATAATAAACTAGATTTAATGAGTCAGTAGCCTTGTCAAGTCGACAGTAAAGCCTAACCTCTCCTCTTCGCTTGTTTTTCAAAGAATAATTCGTATTAAATGAAATATAAAAAAGTGTAAATATGGTTTATTAATACCTACGTAGATTTAAATCTTATCGAGGTTGCCGCAAGAGATACCGCTGACTTTGTAAATAAAATTAATAATTTGTTTGATTTCTTACACTTAAGTACACTGCGATCTCTTAATAAATATAAAAAGGCTTTACGATGCGGTAGTTATCAAATTTAATTTTTAGAAGAAATGCTAACATTTTTCAGGAACTTAAAGTAAATAAAAAGTGATAGGCAGAAAAACGTTACAAATAGCATGAATTTCATTCACGGATTTCAAATGTCTATAAAATCTTTAATAAAACTTTATGAAGAATTAAAATATCAGATGAAATTAAATTTATTTATATTTACGAGACTTCTCGAAGGTTGTCTCGAAAATTTCTTGGATGGTAACTGCCAGGAACCAACGTGTCGACTATTTAGTATTGCCTTCAATAAGATGTTTATAACCAATATCTTAGGGAAACCTCAAAGTACTAATTGTGAATACGATAGTTTAATACACCATCACCGCAACCTGACGATGTTACTGCCCCTGTGTTAACAGTAGGAACAAATTATTATCTATTTCATTTACCAGAAAAAAACGGTTTAGTCTATGTGTACTATGTGAACACCACAAATGTGAGAAAATAAAACTGTACGTTTATAGATCTGAACAACCTATGAACATGGGAAAAGATTATTTTTCTGGCCATTACAAGGATAGTGTTAAATTGGGTTTTTTTAATAATACTTCCTGACAATTTTATCGCGTTTGTTGAATACTTGAGCAAAAATTTCACGAATATTTTGATCTCGAAAGAAACATTGTATATATTGATAGTGAAATATTAAATCGTGTGCAAATAAATTATATTTGTTATGAAATGCGACTTCTTTCCAATAGGTTATTTAAAAAAAAACTTTACATTAAATTTGGAATTTACCATTTAATTAAAAGCCACAACAAATTCTTGAAGAACAATAATTTAAAAGTAAAATATTTAGAATACGTAGTTTGTAAAAAAAAATTATATCTTAAGTATCTATAAAAATGCTGATAAACGTTTTGTTTATTTAAATTTATCCTCTTGTGGCAACCCTACCAAAATAGGTAAAAATTTTAACAGCTCCCTTAATAAAGCTTTGCCTCTGTACAGTTTCTTTACTCATATGCCTTAATTAACTTGACTTATAGAAAGTCTTGCGAAGAATGTTGTTTTGTTTTGTACGAGAAACTTTGAAAATACGATTATTTACAAGTAAAACTACGGACATTCAAATTTGAAATTGCCCTGCACACTTTTTATTATCTTTATCGAAGTATATACCGTGTTTTATTGAAAATGGATCTGAATTGGAAACGATTTTCTGGGTTATTGTTTTACGATTTCAAACGTCGTCAAAAACCGGATGAATTGTTTGATAGACTAAAAATGGCATTATGGATAAAGACCTTGCCAAGGCCACCGTGTAACGTAATGAAGATGCAATACTAGGGTTACACTTTGCGATTGTATCTAGTGTCAATTTTTTTAAGTGGCATCAATGCCGAATGTTATACTAACAAATGCTTGCCGGGAGTGTTCACGTTGTGAGCAACAAACCACCGCATAGAGGTATCCGCAGGTTACTGCTTTATCATGACAACGCGCGTTTAGCGCTCAAAACGAAGGACTTCCTAGACAATATACCGGTTAAGCTTTTGCGTCACCCTCCTTACAGCTCTAGATTTGGTACCCTTTTCTCTTTTACTCCTTAAAATAAAAATAAAAACAGCTGAAAGGGGTGCAATTTTCATCGTCGGAAGATGCTTTAGAAGCGATGGCACAGGCACAAAGTGTGTGGAAAATTGGTTCAGACATATAAAACTTTATATAGATACTAGTGGAGAGTACTTTGAAACGATTTGACAATAAAATATTTAACCATAGAACTTTTGTGTCCACATTTCCCACGTACACTGTTGTCACAAGGCAGTACAGTGTACGTGGGATGCAGATTAATTCAAAGTTTTCATTCATAGCGAAAGTAAATAATTATTCAACTGAATATTAAAGATTACTTAGTATCAAGAAAATGCAGATATAGTTACTCACTAACCTGTATGGATCTTTTAGTTCTTCGGTGACGAAATTAAGATAATTCCAGCCGGAATATGAGAACAGCCCAGTGTAAAACGCTATAGCAATATCACCGGGCCTAGTATTTGTGCCAACCATCATGTTTTGAAGGTTCTCTGTATGACCAGAGAATAAATACCATAAGCTGGCGAAGAAAGTGACGAGGAGGGCCAAAATTTTTGCGGCAGTGAACGTATCTTGTACTCTAGTTACCCATTTCACATTGTAGCAGTTGATAGCAGTGAGGAAACCTGCAACGAAAAGGAAAATTTAAAATGACAAAAATACAAAAATGTTAAAAATTAAGTAGCTAATATCCGCGTAATATAATGGATTTCCGCAAAGTAACGCCTAATTCTTATATTAAAAAAATACTTTTGTTTATTATTATGTATTATTATACAAATTTATATAAATGAAACGTGACGAAAAAAAGGCAGCAGACACCACGAACCATGGTCGGTACTTTCCATCATTGGACAGGGTTAAAAATTAGCCGAAAAGGTTAATATGCGGCTTGTGTGGCCCAAGGGTCGAATACAAATAAATTATTTAACCAGTAGCAATCGAGTCGGCGGCACTTTGTTACCCAACACCTTTACCCAGTAGTCAGCTAAATCTAGTTGTATTCGCACCTCGGCTTTTAGCCTTCACATATATACATATACTCACATCGTACACACATACACATTTTTTTTATAGGATGGGGTGACAAACGAGCATACAGTCCACCTGATGGTAAGTGGTTGCTGTGGCCCATAGACATAGTCTACATCTATCCTCGTTTGCGAATCAAAATGCAGATGCGTTGTCACCCGTGAAGACTAAGATGGAATGCCTCTTTTCCAGTAAAAAGGGTCTCCGGTTCTCTACAATCACCATACGAAACAGCAGTGTAAAGCAGTTGTGTCTCGTCAGCAACGCAAAGTCGGGAATTTGCATTTGGAAAATTCCAAAATTAGGGGCTTTTTAGGTGCTAATTAGGTGCCAAGTTTAAAAATTAGGTGCTCTAAAATTTTCACCGCAACGAACGATTGAAATTTGCGTTGCTGGCAAATCGTATCGCTAGCAACGCAATGACGTTATTAAATATACAATAAATATTAATAGGAAGGAATTAAGTGCTAATTAAATGTTGAGGGATTATCGAAACCCGATACAAATTAAGATATTATTCTGGGAATTATATGGTCCACGACCACCATTACCTTACCAAAAGGTATGAACGGAATTTTATATTCTTTATCAGTGTCTAAAAATTAAGTGCTAATTAGGTACCAAATTTATAAATTAGGTAGGTACTTTAAAATTTTCACCGCAACGAACTGTTGAAATTTGCGTTTCAGGAATATTGACATAGTTACTTTTGCAACGGCTTCGGCGCTGCGGCGAGTGTGAAGTGCGAAGGGACTGCACTCGCCGCAGCGCCGAAGCCGTTGCAGAAGTAACTATGCCAATATTCCTGCAACGCAAATTTCAACAGTTCGTTGCGGTGAAAATTTTAGAGCAACTAATTTTTAAACTTGGTACCTAATTAGCACCTAAAAAGCCCCTAATTTGGGCTTTTTCTAAAAGCAAATTTTGATTCTATTTATATTTTCAGAAAACCTGAATTTTGCATCTGCTATGTTCTGAATAACGACTTTATTTTTATTTAGGGGCGCCTTGTCATTGCCTATACTTGCAGAGCCTAATTTGCACTTAATTCCTTGCTATTAATATTCATCGTATATCTAATAACTTCATTGCGTTGCTAGCGATACGTTTTGCTAGCAACGCAAATTTCAACATTTCGTTGCGGTGAAAATTTTAGAGCACCTAATTTTTAAACTTGGCACCTAATTAGCACCTAAAAAGCCCCTAATTTTGGGTTTTTCTAAATGCAAATTCCTGATTTTGTGTTGCTGGCGATACACAACTGTGTTAGTTGAAGCTGCTATTTTACGCTGGTATTCATACAAGCACAAGCATACATACGTACACACTACAAATTCCCAAATAATATAAACATTTTAAGGGGTTGGGGAAAATTTGCGTACCCCCATACTTAACATCGAAAGGACATTTCAGAAAAATCTCAAAATACTTATATACTTTGAGAAACAGGTGAAAATGATCCACAATTATCAAAACGAAATATGTACATATGACACGTAATACTATTTGTGCAGGTATAGTTTGCACTTGGATAAAATTATTTAAAGCAATTTAATGCACTTATAATGTCCTATTTACATTTATAAGGGTTTTTTAAAGATAAATCAATTGTAAATATCGGTTTAAAATTTTTTACACATTTCATAATACCTATCTAAAATCTCAAAGTGCTCGTTTACTATTCTTTTGCAACAATTGGACTTCATTTTCGTTCAATGGAGTTTAGAATTAAGTATTTAAAAATTAACTACCGAAAATATTGTAATAAATAAGTAAAGCAGCATACTGCGTTGTTCGAAAACTGTTCAAATCAACCCCAAGTATTTTCTCAAGGTCTACGAGACCTCATGTCATTGAATAACATATTATTAAAGTTTTTAGAATACGCAAGAGACTGACGCGCTAGCGAACAACGCGTCGTCAGTCAATAACGCTCCCTTCTCCCTACTTGAACTCGAACAAGGTTAAGGATTGTTTATCTGCAATTTTAAAATTAAAAGACATAGATAACAGTTGAAAAGTTAAAGTTAAAGTTACAGCCTATATTATACCGCCGCGCTGCCCCAATGCGTGTTGGTGAACTTCACATGTCTTTGATTTTTTTCTTATTTCTCAGACATGCAGGCTTCTTTACGATGTTTTTCTTCACCGCCGCACGTGGTAAATAAGCAATTAAAATTGCAATTAAAAATTTCATTAGTGCCTGCGGGAATCGAGCCCGGGTTGCTGTCGTACTGTGAAATTTACAGCGAGATGAGCTACCACACGGCTCATCCGAGGTAACAGTTACCCAAATGTAAAGTGTTGTTACGTGTTATAATATTTTTGGAATTTTGGGAAAGGAAAGTAAGTATATTTAATATTACATTAATGAGTCGGTAGTTTTTGAAATAGTGCTTTTTATGTATGATATGTTACGGCTAATCTTAGTATAAAAAGCAAACTTAAGATTAGCAAGCTTATGTATAGTTTTATTAGTAAGCTAGTGTTCGACATAATGTTCATTCGTATTAAACTTTAGCTAAATAATTTATATATTATTATATAAATGTTCGAGGCTTTGGGATGACCCTTGGGGCGGCTACACCTGGTTTTAGTTATGGTGTGTTCAAATAGTACAACTTCTGTTTTTTCTTTTATTTTCATTTCAGCCGATAGTTTGCGTTTTACGTTTAACGTTTAACTGCAACCAAGAAACGTTTTGGTTGCAGTTAAACTATAGTTTAAAACTAAACCGAAGTTTAATTTCATTTTAACAATAACATTAGCCGCAATATGTACCTATATAAAATAAATTTAAATTTAACACGTACGTATTCCATAACGACGTGTTTAAGACTAATTACTCAACGCGGCGTTATTTTTTGCTCTTGGTACACTGATCGGTGTCGAAAATAACCGGAAGTTTATGACGTTCTCTAGTGATATCGAATATCTTTGAACTTTTAGACACTATAAATAAACAAATATAATAAAGAAAGTAAAGTTCAATGAACTTCGAAATATTAATTAGTACACTATTATGTGTAGGCTGGCTACATAATATCGACACCTGCAAGGAAAAACATCGTAACTCACTTTTTAGCGATTTTGAGTTACAATCATATTCTTAGTAAACAAAAAATTCTCTTTCATTTTCGCTCACCCCTGTATCTAAATTCATACGCGTTACGATTTTAGGCAGTAGAAAAATGTTGTAAGTCAGTGTCCACTGAAGATGATAAAAAGGTATATTTAGTTACACATAATTACCTATGCCTGACATTAATTTATTACATAACAAAAATTGTAACACAAGACACCCTCTTGTTCTTGGCAATTTTTTTTTTGTATTCAAAAAGCTTTCATCGTAACCTTAGTAACGATGTTTTAACCTTTAAACAGAAAATAAAAATATCACTCTAAAGACTACAAATATAACTTATTTCAAGTTACGCCCCTCGCACGCGTTGTTGTGTACAAGTTACGACGAGTTTTGCCGGAACTTGCATACAATATTGGATTGTTTAAACATGAGAAAATAGTAATATAGTTATTCTGAGTATTTGAAATGAGTCGCCGTAGTAAGATAGTCGCGTTAGCTTTAGCTAAAAGTGAAATTACGGACAGTAACGCAGGTTAGTAAATGATCATTATTTTTAAGTATTTACCTATCATCCACTTATTGTCATATCATCTTATTTGCGATTTGGAATAAGTACTATGATATTCATACGAATAGAATTAATACAAGTACAAACTACAATTAGATGATTTCGTTTTTAGAAGACGAACATTTGAACAATCATCATAATAATGACGTTGAGAATAATGTAACACTGGAAAGGAGGATGTCACCAACTTTTGTCGAGACAGGTGAGTGTTGTATATCATGATAATGAAGTCTATTAAAATTACGTATGAACCTATACTAAGTAGTACGTAAGTTAGATTTGTGTTAGTTTAAGTTACACAGTTAATGTGGATTAATGTTATGGTTTTATTTCTAGGGAATGATTTACTAAATTTTAAATATAACCTAGACACTGCACTCCGGTAAAAATACAGAATGATCTAATTTCAATCTCCAATGAATCCGAAGATATTTACTCACCAGTAGTTTCAGAATATTTACCACCACAAGAAAACGGTAGGTATTTTTTATTATATTCAGTAACGTAAATATAAAAAAAAGTTCGTGTATATGGTACAACCAAATAAATCCTGATCTGCAATAGGTCAAATTTTGACCTATTGTGTAGGTATCACGTTATGTTTACTTTGAGCTTAAAATTTATAATTAAATTTTCGATCAATAAAAAAAACTAGTTATTAAAATTGAATTTCACGTATTTTCAGCTCCTTCTGTTTTAACACCTAATACCGATACAGAATCAATTAATGATGAACTTAAAAAAAATTACAATAATGAACAAATAGAGGATATTTTGTGTGAAATTGGTAAGTTTACCTACTGGAATACTATAACAACATTAAACTAATGTTATAAAGATGTTTATATTTATTTTTAAAACCGATTTAATAATGTATGTTGTATTTTTAGTGCAAAACCAAAAACTTAGTAATGCAATAAAACCTGAAATACGAACTTATG